GGCTCGCGAAAGTATTCATACGATTTCAATGAATATATTATACGCGTTTCGCGCGAAACGTTTCGAAATTTCATTGACATTATAACGCGACACGACTCTCGCGACTGTATTAATAAAATTTGAAACTAACCTTCAAAATTAGTGAAAAATTGTTGACGTTTTAAGTTCTTAATTCTTACAATCTCGGCGAGGAAAAATCAAGAAACAACAAATTTTAAAGATTTGTTTTAACGACGAGACTTCAATCTTTAAGATCATGATGGGGTTTAGTTATAAATAGATCTTTCATATTGGAAAGCCGTGTTAAAACATTGTTATAACTTTGTAATAAATAAACATTCTAATAAGCAGTCTAATAATAATTAATAGTAACTGGAGGTGAGATTATTCTTCTGAGGTAACACGTTTGAAAGAGAATCAAGTCATCGCACAATTCTTCTCTTCACATTACGAAGTGATGAATTTTCCAATTGTCCAATTTTTGACAGATTCGTCCGAACGTACGATTTGTTAAAATAGAGAAAGAGAGAAATATAATGGAGGATTTCTATAATGGATGTTCGCTCTCGATGTTTCGATTTGTTTCTCAATTAAATTTCGTAATGTAGGGCGAGCAACATTCGGATGTATCGCACGGTTTTATTAAAGTGCAGCAATGTAACATTCGTAGACACGACGTACGCGTTCGAAGACAGTGGAAAATGAAAGCAATTTTAACAGAGCGGGGAAAATCAATGGAGAAGTGGCGGGATAAAAGAAGAAGGTTCAAAGGTATGCACTTTGTTCTGCCGGAGCAATTCAAGGAGGATGTTTATTTAAATTTTCAGGTAATTTACATCTACTTGCCACGCCGTATCACTCCTCTTCTCCCGTCCCATTCGAATGCACTTTTATTGAATTCGGGGAATTTGTATTCACGTCGACGAAGAGATTTCTTAATAGAAATAAATAAATTAAATCTCGCAACACTGTTCCATTAAACTTCGTACTTCGCGCCTCTTTTGATCGACAGGGATTTGTAATGATATTTTCAAAAGTTTGAGGAACGTTTAATTGGAAATTTTGAAATTTAAACTCTTGCTAGTACCCCAATGATGACTAGTTTCAGCCATTGAAACACTGTGTTCTGAAGAAGTTTTTTATTCTTGCTTGTTTTTAAAATTTCTTACAAATACATGAATGTCCTCTGTCTAATGACGTTTCTTCATTTTCTTTCTGGCAAATAAATTTAATCATCGTTAAGTGTTTTTGTGCACTTACGTCTTTTTCTTGCTCGAATGGAACCGAAATATGTAGAAAATAAGACGGTACGCGCATAGTGTATTCAACGAGAAAATGTGGAAATATCCAAATGTCGTTTGGCCCGACATAAATTGGATAAAGTCATCCTTTGCGAATTTCCTTTCGAATTCTCTTTAGAGTAGATCTCTGTTTTCCTCCCTATGATTTATACATGGTGGCAATTTTATTCTCTACTTCTCAACATAAAAATCAAGTAATTCGTACTTCAAGTCCATGTAAAACAAGTAATTTCGATACATACATGTATATATATATTTTTTTTACTTTATTACAAAAAATTAATCATTTTATTCTTTTTGCATTCTTTTACAATTAAACTGAAAATGTTCAATATATTTGTGTAATTGTATAACACATCGCGTAATTTCTCTGTATAAATTTTGATTTGCTTGTGTTTCAAACTTGATATTTAATTTAACATATTTAATATAATTATACTAATCGGCTTTGACCACGATGTTAATGAAATATTTTACGTAACATTATATTCCTGAAAGTATATCTTTCTATTTATCATACCTATTGGAGAAGAACGTTTAATATTTATTTCCAATATTTAAAATTTGGAACGATCGGGCTCGTATATATATTCATAATTCTATAACG